CCCCCCGACTACCTATAACCAGATCAGAGAGAGAGGACAGTCAGTCAACTGAATCCACCGCCTATACGACTAGCTGTAACCTGATCAGAGAGAGAGGACAGTCAGTCAACTGAATCCACCGCCTATACGACTAGCTGTAACCTGATCAGAGAGAGAGAGGACAGTCAGTCAACTGAATCCACCGCCTACACGACTAGCCGTAACCTGATCAGAGAGAGAGGACAGTCAGTCAACTGAATCCACTGCCTATACGACTAGCTGTAACCTGATCAGAGAGAGAGGACAGTCAGTCAACTGAATCCTCCTTGTGTAAAAGACAATAAATCATCCTTTAATGTATTTAATTCGCTTTGAAATTTACTAATGTTTTCCATTTGTACTTTTTGCCACTGCTGTTGACTTTCCTGTAGTTGCTGCTGACTTTCCTGCAACTGTTGGATACTTTCTTCCTGTTTATTTTCTCATTCTTCTTGTTTCTTTTGTTTTTCCTCCAACCACTGCTGTATATTCTCTTTTTGTTTCTTTTCTTTTCCCTCCAACAACTGCTGTAATCTTTCTTCTTGTTTATTTTCTCGTTCTTCTTGTTTCTTTTCTTTTTCCTCCAACCACTGTTGTAATATCTTTTCTTGTTTCTTTTCTTTTTCCTCCCACAACTGCTGTAATCTCTCTTCTTGTTTATTTTCTCGTTCTTCTTGTTTTTTTCCCCTCCAACCACTATTGTGATCTCTCTTGTTTATTTTCTCGTTCTTCTTGTTTCTTTTCTTTTTCCTCCAACAGCTGCTGTAATCTCTCTTCTTGTTTCTTTTGCAGGTTTTTCACTGTTGCAGGTTTTCTTGCAACTGCTGTTGTCTCTCTTCTTGTTCTTGTATTGCTGCCATCAAATCCGCTAAGCTGTAGTTTGATTTGCCGCTTCTCGTTTCCATCTTCTTCTTCTGTTTTTTGTCCCACTCTGAGACACAAATTTGTTACGTCTCTGGTCGTTAGTTAATTTTCCGTAAAAATTCTTTCCGAAGAAACTTTAGCGATACAAGTCCTTTCTTAAATAAAACTGGTTTATTCTTTCTGAATACAACTTTGCAATACACTTAATTTCCACAGTCACGCTATAACAAACGCTATAATTCACAACGAACGACTCACGTGCTCGCTCGACTCAATTGTCAGTCTCTATCTCTGTCTGCAGTTCAATTACATTGTTGCCGTCACTTCTTACCGGTCTTATATATACAAAAAGCGTACATCTCGTTTCTTCGTGAATCTTCTAGAATATCATGACGTGTTACTACCGCTGTCGTAACACTAGTTCATTTATAGTTAATAGAGGCATGGACACTGCAAGTAAAGAATGAATTAAAATAGCCATATATATTTATTAGAATAATCAGTATCCGTCGTTATCAATAGATAGCAGCACTTACATAGGTGTGCGTGGTTTCATTAGCCTGACCTTGCTTCTTATACGTTTGCAAAGTATATTACTCTAAATATAAAATTTTGTACTAAATATGAACAAGAAACCAAATAAATAAATAAAAAAACTTCTACTTTAACTTAATCGCCAATGCAGTTTGTGCTATAGAAAGAAACTTGGTGAAAATCGTAATTCTAAAGTTTTGTTAATTTTATAGTTTAGCGCAAAGCTACACTATGGGTTATCTGCGCTGTGTTATCCACGAGTATCGAAACCCGTTGGTATCTTGATCAGAATTTGGTCGCGTCGTTGTGCTCGACATTGGAGGATAAAGTTCTTTCAGACTTCTTCCTCCATTCGAAGCCCGGTTTTTAACATTATAAACCTTTAGAATTACCGCTGGAGGTCTGTAAAGTTTTGTTAACGTTTTTGATTTCATATTCCATGTCGATCTAGTTTTCAAACAGTGCATATAGAAAGAAATATTTTACAATTGAATAATAAACACAAGTTAATAAGTTTTCGATTTGTGAAAATGTTTATCTTAACATTATATATACAAAACGCAGAATAATATAACGAGATATCAACTTTTTTACTTGCACAATAATTTATTTGTAAAGTGTAAAAATATAAATTAAAAGAAACTCTAAAAACTCTACATGTTTCGGTGGAAATAATTCTACCATCTTCAGGAGAATAAATCACGAAATACACATGAAGTTTCTTCTAAACCTAATGTACGTGTATAATTAGCATGTTTTTACAATGGCGCTATTTACAACAATGATTTCCAAAAGTTTACTTCAGTGGCTCCTAGGCCTAAATCTTTATTTATATTCATTTTGTTGTTAACAATTTCTAAGGATTCTCTTATATTTAATTCATCTTTTTCCTTTACATTTTTAAGTATTTTTACATTATCCCAGTCAATAACATGTGTAGAATTCGCCACATGTTCTGCCAAAGCCGATTCACCCATTTTTAATGTATCCCCACATTTTGATGTTCTTTTACTCTACATTTTAAGTTTCTACTCGTCTGTCAAATATAACTTAGACCAAAAGTACATGAAATGTTATTTATACCACATTTATCCCTTAATTCAATTTTCTTTTAAACCATTAATTATACGACTTAATTTTAATTGGGGAGTAAATGTTACTTGGCAATTTATATTTTGCTTAAACATATTACCTATTTTTATTGACAATGGTGAAACATGGGGCAAACATATTCTTTCTCTAATTTCCATTTTTGTTATCTGCAATTTAATACACCCAGAAATTTTAAGTTTGTTACAATACTTGCTGTACATCCTATCTATGATTTGAGGTTAATACCCTTCGCTACCTGTTTTAAATACGTTAATTCTAAGATCAAATCCTCATCATATGACGAAATATTAATAGCCCTATAAACAAAAGACGAAAATGAGGACATTTTTTGTGATCATAGGTGACATGATCTCACATGTAACGTTTTATTAACTTTATTTAAATTGTTTGCACAATAACTGTCTGTTTTACGTACTGACTAATATAAGTGTTCAGGCAGCAAAGAGTGAAATCATGGATTTATGCAGTAGGTCTAGGCACAGAATAAAAGTGAAGAGATCAAATGTTAT